CACCGTCTCAACACGTACGTACATGAAGGGCAAGTGTCCTTGGATTATACATGAAGAAGGTGGGAACGGCCCACTTGTACCATCGTTCGGGTGGATAGTGCGAAGTCTTCCCCGCTGTAAGGACACATACCATAAGTCAACTCCCTGCTTTGAAGACACAAGAATCTCAGAAGCAGGATGCCCCGCAGATGTACCACTAAACACGGTGAGGGGTACTGTGTTCAGCAGTCGGGACCCCCAAAAGATGCTCAAGGACACCTTTCGAACTGCAAGGCGCAATAGACAGGGTGAGCGATCTGCTGCTACTGTCACCACTGCGGGTGGGTATGGATAAATTCGGACGACGTAGCTGTACGTGCAACTGTTGCTTGTGTGTTCCTCTTTGGTCCGTCTTCGTGAAATTATGCTCAGCTTGGTAATTTGTAGTTGTGCTACCTGATATTGACCTCTGGGCAGGACCGACGGGCTCCAATCATTATTTCGTTCGTGGTTTTGTTTGGCGTTGTTGGTGCTCCGACATTTCTACTTTCGTTTCAGGTATGGTTTTGCTTCTTCCTTGTTGAGCAGGTAGCCTGTGCGGCGCACAAGATGTACAGCATGCATCGTATCCGAGTTAGCTGCAACGACGGTTGGCTGTCTTTCATTTTCTTTTGGGGTGCGGGTAACGATATGAATCTCGACAAGGTATTGAACGCGGGAACGACGCCAAAGCAATAGAGAAACTAACCCAACAAAAAAACAACAGGGACAACAACAATGACAACAACAGCTGCTGTTGCAATTGTGTGCCTCGTCCTGCAGCACTATACCCATTGTTCCAAGAATAATGTGAGGGGTGGAGTGTTATGACGTCAAGGTTCAAGAGCGAACGACGTATGTAAGAGAGTGCGATTTCCAACCACCACCATGGTGTGATAGTCAGGTTTATGATGTCTTCTTGGTTTCGTGCTAGTATCCCTGACGCAATCACGCGTCTTCGGACGTATTGGACGCCTCCGTTGACCCCGGGGACGGTGAGTTATCATTCCCAGCATCGTAAGGACCTTAAGGACACTTTCCCGCGGTAAAGAAAGGCACTTTCAAATATACAACTGATGCGTATCTTCACAGCGGGGACGACTGTTTGGTTGTAAATTCTGGTGAGCAAACAAAGCCTTAATACTATAGAGCAGCATCAATTTGCTTTTCGTTTCTTTCAAGTGGTACGCTTGCGGAATGGGAACCAGAACAGACCGGGCCAATAGTTTCGACTGTTGTTACGTTTACAGACATCGCTCGAAAAAGAACCACAACTGGGAACAAATGCGCAATCGTGATCGGGTTTGGTAGAGCAGAAAATCCTATAACCTACATGAAATGGTCGGGAATACTGTGTCAGTTTGTCAAAGACGCAAGTGGGCAACATTCTTCGTCACTGGAACTGAAAACAAACCAGAACATGAACTGCCATCTAAACACAATCAACACCCGCCTCACACCAACATCAACGACGACCCATGCCCGAAGTTGCATGCCCTGCAACCAATAGAGCACAACGTACCGCAGCAGTACGCGGGCCGTTCCAGAAATTGTTCAAGGTAGGCACCAAAAACTAGGCTGATCAGAATTTTCTCATTCGTTTGAACGGATGCAATGCGCTTGGAGAAGGAGGCGGACAAGTACTAGTCCCGGGCGGCGACCCATTTTCTGTTTGAACACAAGGTAATCTTGAAGGTAATGGAAACCCATGGCGAAGGGTATATCAGTGTATCAATTCATGATTACCAAGCGTCTGGAATGGAATGATGTACCACACTGACCGGTTAAAGTGGATCCCTAAACCGCGGAGGTGGGTTGGTTACTATCTTTAACATATTTGGATATTTTCTGGGCGATAGCTGTTGAAGCACCTGCTGTACCTCCTGGACTTCCACGTGAAAGTACAGCACCAATGACCAGCGACTGTCACACCAAGCGAATGGCAATCGCACCAAGAACAAGACACACCCACCGGTCACTCCCAAGACATAGACGCCAAGCACGCCGACGCTAGGCTAGCATACAACACGAAACAGCATCAACCACAAACAACCAGACTCCCTGCATACACCACAGTCAACCGCAAGGCCTCACCGGAAAGATTGTTGTTGGAAAGATATAGCCTCGTTAGCCCCGTCAGCCCGCCCAACTCCGGGGGGATGCCGCCTGAGGGATTCGGTGGCAGCATCGAAACGACAGAAACAGACGTATCACGTACAACGTCTGTCTGCCGCCCCAGAGCAGTTTTGGACAATATGTTCCTGCTGCTTAACAAGACAAGAATGAGCGCGCTGGTCTTCATCTCGTGTATACCCCCAAACGTTTACGATGCATGTCTACCCAGTCCCACCGGTTGAGGAGGGCGTCACTGTAATGAACAAAGTTCAAGAGATTTGTCTCTCTTCATGGGCAGGGCGGTGCAGGGCAGTGGGCGCATGTGAACGCATGTTCGTGGTGACTGCACCCAAGTTAATGATTGAAAGCGATTATGTACTCCCAAAACCCGTGTTTTTTCTTCGATCCCACTCAAGACAAGCAAGAACGAACACCATCTCGAGAACGAGTGGTACCAGAAAACTAAAGAAACATTCGGGCACACAAAGCCCTGACGGGAGGGCCAGAATCTGTTTCGAGCAGCAAGCCAAGGGGTTACACCCACAAATCGCGATCCCGCAGCTGCGGAGTGCACTTGGAAGGTGAGGTTAATGCCTTGATGCTGTTTGTGCCAACGTTTTTGTTGCGTTTCCGTCGCAAAAGGATGTGCGAAACATTCCTGACCGCTGTTCAGTACGAACGCAAGTAAGAACAAAAAATACGACATTTTCCAGGCGGCCCTATAACACAAACAGTGGAGGTGGCAAAGGAGAAAGACCGACAAGGAGGTTCAGACACCCAAACCCACTGACCACTTGAACTGTTGACCCCTCAAAGTGCCTACACACACTTGCGGTGTGGTCCTCATGACCAGATTTCGCCTTCTTACTATAAACCTCTCGGGGTTCCCATTCCCCTGGTTTCGGGATCGAGATCGATTCATCCCCGTACAAGGGTTCTCCGATCCACCAACTACTGGCACGTTCACGCAACCGCACTAAAGTTCCCACATGCTAACGTCATGCAGAAACACACGTGTGCCGAAAGCGCTTCGATTTCTTCAGCAAACATGTGGTGCCGAGTTCCTCGACAGACTGGCACGTCTTTGTACGCATACCCTGCCGACACATCGGCGAGCACAAACTACAAAGCAGAACGGGTTTTGTCCAGCGGCGATAAAACCTCAAGGGACACCAACCCGGCCTGGGTCAACGACCTTCAGAGAGAAGGGGCAATATTGACCTCTGTCATCTTGCCCCCGGCTCCTCCGCCGAGAGGCACAAAAGGTCATCGATACACGTCTGAGCGATGTTCGACAACTGTCGGGTAGCGGAGGAAGGTGGGGAATGTCGTTTCCGATCAATCGTGAGAGTCACGTTGGAGCTATACATAGGAGGAAACACCTAACTCCGACGGCCAACCGGTCGGTGGGGCAAATTCAACCTCGCGCCTTCTCGTCCCTACAAACGGGCAATGCTTCTGTTCATGTCCGGAGTTGGCTCGTAACACCTGCTAGCCGAAATACACCTCCTTGAATGACTCACAGAGAGTATGGTTTGCGGGTTATCGATGACCACAAGCAAACAAGTGACGTACATACCTGCCAATTGCTGGCTTCCGAGAAACTCCCCTATAGAGTGCGGGTGCTGTGGGGAACAACTCGGGAGGTGATGGAAGACCATATGCAACAACCTAGGTTCGTTGGCTGTTGTACACAAGCTATCACAGGGGGTGAAAGTCTCAGTGAACAGTTCGACATACGCTAGAAACCATATCAACGGGCTGCTGAACACTCAGGACGTTTGGCACTACTGATGCAGCCTGGGGATGCGAAAAACACGACGTGTACTGGAAAAACTGAAAACTCCCCAGGTTCCGTGGAGAAGGACCAAAACTGGTCCATACCCGCCTTGACTCTTTCATCGACGTATGACATCACTAGCACGTGCAAAACTTGACAAATCCCACAGGGTTGACTCTCTGCGTAACGGCCTCCTCCTGAAGGCCCCAAAGATATGGATTATGATAATGCATCTCGCAAGCGAACAGTCAACTAGTAAACGGATTTTGGTCGCATCTAAGATTCAATACTCTCTCTTCCTAGCACACAGACGAAACCGCGCAGAAAAAAATGACCAATGTATCATTCCGGTCCGCTTATCAGGAGGTCCTGCTTCTACAGATCGCCCTTGCACCAACAGTGATGCCGGCGTCTGCCGACCTCTGCTTGCTGCACGTATCCAACACCCAACAAAGTTATCCCAGGGCTAGCTTACTTCGTTAATCCGCGTGGCAACTCTGGAATGTCTGGGGTGCCCTTCAACAAGGCGATACATTCAAGGGACACCAAGGGTGGATGCTACACTGCCGACGAATTCCTGTCCCGAGCGAACGACACTACCCTTCGGTGTTTGCCATCGGGGTTGGGTTTTCCTCGCTTGGCAACGATGTTCTAAAACAAGCCCATCACTTGGTGAGCTCGGCAACCAGTTTACAACTATTTTTCTGGTCTCTGGTTTTATTTGTTGCGGTAACCTAATGGTGGTCGAGGAGATTATGTTGTGCGGGGTCGGGAACCCTTACTCCGCGCAGAGGGGATGATCGCACCACGTTGTGAAAAATTGGTGAAGCACCCTCGAGGCTCGAGGCAGTCACACGATACTTGCAACTGTCTCTGGAAGTGAAAGAAATATATCAAGTCATACGCAGCTGTCGTCCGTACGCAAGGAAGTAAGCATAAGATGCCGAACATCCTCAGCAGGACGCAGCGCACCCTTCATGCGACTCGCCGAATACCTCACGGTCCTTCGCGCTTGGTGATGTACACAGCGTGGTCTGGTGAGAACCTGGCGTGCTCCGTCCCGGCCTTCTAGGCGTGCGAGGTCAATGGTCTAACGACACGGCATACACGACAATGAGTACCCCCCCCCCCACCCTTGAGCGAAAGACAGACATGTCGGGATGCCCCGATTTCACCAGTATCGTCGTTTGCAACATACGATGAACCATGAGGCTCACCTTAAACCAAAAGTGTATTATAGAGACTGCCTGACGGCCGACTGATCGTGGGCGGCGAAATCAACCTCTTGGCTTCTGATGGTTGTTGCATGATCAAGTCACGAGAACGAAATCTGGCGGTGTAGGTGTTCAGCTCGTACTGACTGCAAGTCGGAAGCACCTCGTTGCACGCCTCAAAGTGAGCATGTTTTGCAGGGTGTCCATGACAATATATTAACATCATTTCAGAGAACTGTCAATGGAATGTTGTAGCCTTGGAGGTGTTCAGAACCGGAAGGGAATGGAAGACGAAGAGAAGCAAACAATGTCGTCGCCAATTTCTCTGGTATTCTTGGTTCAGCGAACAGGTCCGACAACTGAGTGAAAACAAAACAAGTGCCCATGGGACAGATGTCACCGGTAACGACCGGCAGAGCAGAAAAGCTAACTATTCTGACAGCACCTCATGCGTCTGACAATTGCTTGGCTGACGCGTCATGGATTGTCGGCGACGAACATGAGTCATATACCTCCTGCGACTGCGCAACCTCCGTTCGCGGGATCTCTTGAATCTCTTTCCATACATCCAAACACAACAAAAACTCTAGACTCGGGCGGGGCAATGTTCACACGGTCCGTGTTCTGAGTACTCATTTCCGCGAATACCACACGTGCTCTTTGCCATGTACACGGCTGGGGGGAAAATTAAATAATTACTTGCTTCACGGGCGTATACCATATGCTGGGTTCTGTTGCATTGGCAGATTGCTGTTTCTGAAGCCGGCCTCGCTTAAGTGACCGTTCCTCTTTTCCATCCCACAGGAGATGCTGTGCTCTCGAGTCTTGTGTAGCTAATAAAGGTACCGAATCACAGGTGCTGGTGCACGAGCAAGAGTGTGATGAATCGAAGTTTGTCCTGAACAAATGCCCGCTGAACAATACCGCCCACGGAACAAGGGCGGGCATGAAAAGGCTTTGGGACATACAAACAACGGAGGTAGTACCTTCCTCGACACGTTCCAAAGCGAATTCGCCAATCCGAGTGAGTGAGAGCCAAGAGATAGGTGCATCAGCAGACCATCAAGCTCATGTGGACATTGCGGGATACCTGACGCTTGTGACCTCCCAACCCCCACCAGCATGACAACCACTCCAAGCCAAGCGGGGGACTGGCCTCTTGCGCTTGCCCAACGGTCCAAAAGGAATCACATCGAGGCGACACGTCTCCGGGCATAAACCCATGAGCCTGCCCTGTGCCGTAAGGGGAAGCTTTCGTACGTGAGCGATGAGGTCAACCAAGACGTACCGGTGACTGGAGCTCATTTCTGAGACACGTCAAACCAGGACCACATTCCTTGTCAGGTAAGTTTCAATCCGCGGCAACGCATTCCACCATAGAGTAAAGAGTAATAGTCCGTCAAAGGACGTTCTTGCACGTTCGTGACCAATTCTGCTTTGCGAAGGGTTTCATTGAGGGCATCTGATGAGGCCAGAGTCCGTACTCCGATGTGTCACGTTCCGGGGTAGCCTTCGTCCCATTGCATAGTACAAGCTCTCCACTCTCAAAACAAAGTACAGTTGTGCATCATGGTTCCCTGTTCATGGCGGAAATTACTCGGCAAACGTTTGTCATTCGATTGCACTTGCCCAAACCAACACGCGGACAGATTTACGCTTTCCGGCTGAAACATTTCCAAGTAGCAAACGATAGTCAGTCGCAGATGAAACAAGTCTTCGCCCTGCCCTACCAATCGTTCCACCCGTTGTGTTTTCCATTATCGAACGTCATGCCCAGGACCGCCGCACCTGACCTTTGCTTTGGCCTCGGCATCCATCCCTACACATAGGCAAATAAAAATGTCACGGTAATGGTTCCCAATCACGACTCTAGCTCACGTGTGCAACGCTTTGGGAATGGCCTCGAACCCAACTTGATCATTTGATGCATAGACACCTTTTCGAGTATTCGGCGGTTCACCGCAAATCAAACTCGTGTTCCATACGGAGCTTTCTAGCACCGTCACGAACAGCACTTGTCACAAGCGATCCCGCATGAAAACACAAATGTCCTTTTCGTATTGGAGAAATTCTCTTGTGAACGTCGGGTGACTTCTCGAATTCGGCATATACCATTTGCAGTGGGGATAATTCGAGGAACAAAGCAGGATCAACGGTTTGAATAATTGAAAAACACCGCGCACAGCACGAGGGATTTCCCACGTCTGATTCCCCTGTGTAGCAACAGCATTGTCCGGTGACACTAAGCTGGCAACAGCAGACCCGAGAGAAGGCAATAAGCACACGACAGGTCGATTCTGAATGCACCTGTGCGCTCAAATGTTGCTCCAAATATACCCATTGGAAGTTGACCAATGCTGTTTACGCTAGGGTGTTCCTGTAGCACATAAAGCTGATTGTTGAGGATGGATCGTGGCTTAGGCTAGGTCGCTTCTTGCCTGCACGGTACGCGCCAATGATGCACTTCGGATCACCACAACATACCGCCCGTCTCCACTCATAGCAGGCGCAGGGGCAGAAGTGAGGGGTGTGGAATGTACTCTGAATGTACTCTTTTCATCATGCATCCGTCGAAACGACAGAACCTTGACATATCGAAATAACGCCTTGCCCATCGCGTCAAAAGCCGCTCGAGGCAACACAGTGAGCGATGCGTGGAACAAGGCCTCAGCAGGGTTCCTTGCTGGTTTCCCTTGTGTGCCGCTGTTCACGCGCGAGTGCAGATTTCGCAACTTGCTTTGGTACACGCCCTGGGAGGGGGTTCCCAAGGTGTGTGGAGAAACGATCGTTTGCTTCGCCTCAAATTATTTCCTGTGGGGTCAACGTCAGTGATGTTTACGTGTCCATGTAGACAGTTTGTCAGACACGTTCAACCACGCCACGACCACATTTCAACCCGCGGCAATGTTCTCCACCATAGTATCGAGAGTGGAGAGCCGTCGCAGGGCTTTCTTTGGCATTGCTGCCGAGTCCTGTTATCCGGAGCGATCCATTAGCATCTCACGACGCCAGCGTCCGCATCCCACGCTTGCCACGTTTCGGGGCATGCCGTCGCCTTACAATGATATTTCTGAAAACTGGTTCATATGTTGTGTCACGAAAGAGCATGTTGCCCTGTAAACCATGCGGCTAAGTATGCCTCATAATCAATTCGCCTGTCATTCTACGACCATGTGAAGACCCCTGATCGGCAGAGCTCCAGTTTCACCATAACGGCCATCCTATTTCCCTGTTCAGAGTGGTCACTACCCAACTACTGGTTGCTATCGAGCTGCATCTACCAGAGAAAATGTCGGGATAGGTATACACTGTCCAGCTACCGCCTTTTCGAGTGACAAATAAAATGCCGATCAGTCGCAGATATAGAATGTCTTCACGCTGCCCTAACACTCGCTCGACCCGTTGTGCGTTGGTGTCAAATAGAGTGCATGTAGTTTCGTGGATGTGAAGTATTTGGGAAGGCCCCAGAAGCCGTTCCGAACGTGTCATGTAGTGCCCACATTTCCAGCGTCAGAGTGTTGGGCAAGTCAACCCTGAGAGCGCATTAGTGATGGTTGATGCATGGCATGACAGAAAACAACCTGACGGCGCATGTGAGACGTTGCTGATACGTGCAGACTGTCTGCCAACGTCAAGAAGAGTGCCGACACGGTATGCAACGAGGACAGGGGGAAACCAGCAGAGTAAAAACGGAAATGGGGGTTCGAAGGAGTTTGCACAAGTACTGTAGTTGATCAGTTCATGAAGATCGAGCAAAGAGACTGTTACGACGTGTGCGGACATCACGTGAAGGAAAAGAAGACAAAACTCTGCACAAAGCGCAATCGTGTCAAGGTTTGGTAGAGCGGAACATCCTACAATTTCGATGAAACCGCCCATGAAATCATGTATTGTGTGGGCAATCCTTTCCCATAGACGTAAATGGTCAGGGCAATATATGTCGGAACCGGAACTGAAGAGGAAAATAGAAAGGTGTTCTGCCATTCGAACATCATGAAGGCCTGCGTCACAGGGACATCGACGACGGGCGATGTCAGAAAAGGCATGCCTCGCAACAAAATAGAGTGCGACGTAGTAAAGTACGGAGGGTGCTTCAAGGGATTATCGAGAATGAAAACCAACGCAGGTAGGATTCTTGCTCTCATTCTAAATATTTGATCAAAGGAGCTTTTGAGAAAGGAGGCGAAGAAGAAACTGTTCGGTGCGGTGACCCCATTTCTGCTCAAAAATCAATTTTGTAGCAACCATGGCGGAGGTTGGAGTTCCATACGGTAGGCTACCTCTGCGAAAGGTGCATACATGAACCCGAGTACGCAATCATGAAAATTTGAGGCCTTGCTCGGGACCACGTCGTTCATTGACACGCGCACTTGGGCAATGGTCCTATCGCAGAAAGCAAGGGATTACAAAAAGCTGTTCCCTGTTCATATTATGATTCTCCAAATTGCGTCATCTTACGCAGAGCATGATCACGAGGCAGAAGGAAGCCACGCAACCCCCTCCTGTCCTGAACGAAGACCGCCGGAATAAATCTCGTGGGGGGGATATCCGCCAACAAATCATCGACTTGAGAACTCCAACGGATGGTACATTTTCTGTTTTTGGCTCCATCAAACACAAACCTCCCGGATCGCATGCTCTAGAGACTCTTGAGAAGCCTTTGAGTGGTTGACGGATACTGGAATGGGTCCTCGGGCGGTAGAGAACAGAGACGGCTAGATGTGCATGCCGTTGAAGTAGCGAGCTTCATGTTTCAGGAAGTGTTCACAGGGTAGGCCGTGCCTAGCCTTTGCCACGACTGATGACGTTGTCAACATTGCCAACCATCTCTTACACCAAATGTATCAATTCCAAAGTACCAAGCGTCTGGAATGGAATGATTTACCAATCTGAGTGATGAAAGTGGACGGTCCCTAAACCGCGGAGGTGGGTTGGTTCCCAACTCATTCGATACTTAATGGGCGATAGCAACTAACGTACCTCCTGTGCCTCCTGGACTTCAACGGGACAATACAACAGCTATTACCAGCGGCTGTCACACCAAGCGAATCGCCATCGCACCAAGTACACGAGGTGGCCACCAGTCCCAAGGAAGAGACGCCAAGCACGCCGAGGCTAGGGTAGCATAGAACACGCCAAAGTATCAACCACAAACAACCAGACTCCCTACATACAACACAGCCAACCGCAAGGCCTCACCGGAAAGATTGTTGCCGCTGAGACTTAGCACCGTTAGCGCCGTCAGCTTGCCCAGCGCGGGTGGAATGGCCCCTGAGGAAATTAGCGGCAGCACCGACCCAAACGCAAAAAATTTCGTTAGCGCCGACAGCCCGGCCGGCTCGGGTGGAATGGCCCCTGAGGAAATTAGCGGCAGCGCCGACCCAAACGCAAAGAGTTTCGCGTAGCAGGTCTGACACTCGAGAGCACCTTTGCATCAACATTTCCCCTGCTGGACGGAGGAAGAATGAACACGCTGCCGTTCAGCTCGCCTTGCCTCCGATCGGTTTGATGCATGTCCACCGCCCCACTAGTTGAGGGGCCTCAGCGTAATAAACACGATTAAA